TGTTACAACTTGACAATGTGCCAGCAATAATAGTTATCATATGAAAAGATTTGTCTTCCAATAACTTTTTTAATCTTTTGATACAATCAATATTAACCTAGTTATTTTAAAGCCCTATGAATTCAACTTTTAATTCACTTTTGATAAAAATAATGACGCATGCAATGAATTAGCGAGGATTTTTTTTCTCTTCTTTTAATTTTTTTGTATTTATCAAAATTTGTAGCTTTGAGCAAAACTTTTTATTTTTTTCTTTTACAAAAGAGATGCAAAGACAATAATTTTTTTCTATCAATTTAATATAATGTAATAGTAAAATAACATAAAAAAGATAAAAAATTATTAATATTATTAAAATTATTACAAAGCTACTAATTTTGACATAAAAGTCTTCTTGTTAACATATGACCATCAAATATGAAGCATCATAATTAATTCTATGAGTTTTATTAAGTCAAATTTTTTAATAAAATTTAAAATTTTATTATACTATAGCATTAGTATTCATTATTTTATTTCTATTGCTTTTCTTTGACAATACATGACTTAGTTTTTTATACCTTATTAATTTTTATTTACAATTATTACGTCCTAATACATCTTGTACTATTAACTATAGTTTCTTATCTTTTATTGTATATGATATAATATTACTTTTGAAAACATATGTTATGTTTTGATAATACTCATAAAATATCAAAATAAATTGTTATTTTAAATTATTTTCTGAAATAAAACATCTTATTTTATATATATATATTTAAATTAATAAAATATCTATAATATTAATTTGGCTTTGTAAATATTATTGATTATATATATTTTTGATATAAATAATTATAAAAATAGCTTAAATGAATCATCTCTAAAGAAATTTATAACATTCTATTCTTTTTATAATAATGTCAAAGTTTATATATATATATATATATATATATATATATATATATATATAATAGTATATCAACCTATCAAACTAATGGGAAGAATGAAATTTGTTTTATATTTTGAAATTTTTATTTAAAAGTTCAATATAGTTTCATAAATAAACAAAATTAATTCAAATAAACACAATAAATATATAACTACAAGTCCAATTTAACAAAGCAAAGGGATTCATAATATAGTATTAAGGTGGAAATTTTAATCACTTTGAAAAATAGCCAAGTATGCCCACAAAATAAAATAATAAAAATAGACAAAATCCTTAATGCATTGTTCCATGAGTTGTGCTTGAAAATGATTGTTGATTCTAGAATGTGTCTAGTTTGGTTCCAACATAGAACTATATTGAATGTTTTATTTTAGTGTTTCAATTTTATATTTCTTATTTTGATAATTTATTTTTGCTTGATCTACTTAATATGACTATGTGATATAGAAAGAAAGTTTAAAAATCAAATATTTAATGTATGATTTATTATAGTATGTAGAAAAATCAACTTAAAATTATATGATTTTTGTTGAGTTGTAATACATATTGGTAGTATAAATTACCAAATTATAATATTTATATATGATCAAGGTTCTTGATCTAAAAAGATATGCTTCAAATAGAAATCAAATGGTAAAAAACCATTTTCAATAACCACCTTCACCATAAATCAAATACAATCTTTGGCATCACTTATAACAAATTTAAAAGATTATGATGATTATGCATAAATATTAAATCAAAGTTAACTTCCATATATTTGAAAACTTGTGATGCACCATTTACAATAGAACAAGTTTTGTATCTTCTTTCAAACAAACATTTACAACTTAAATTTACATCATGTAAGTTTGATTTTTTAAATTAATTTTTATAAATTTAATTATTTTATTTGAATTAAATTTAAATTTAAATTTGGAAATTATTAAATTGATGCACACTTTTGTAAAATTGACCCATCTAAATAAGAATCATAGTAAAGAAGAATCACACATGATGGATCCTGCACCCTCTTGCAAATCAAGTAAAGATGAAAAAATGGAGCCCATGAATCACTTCTATCGCAACAAACTCTCAAATCACATTCACAAAACAATAAAACTGGGCAAACATTCCTTCAATTTATCTCCATTCTACATCCCCACTCTTGGGACAAATAGTGATAAGTTGATTTAATAATTTTCTAAAATTTGAGGAATAACAATATTCATTTAAAAAAATTAAAATTAAAATGTTGTTACATTTGTGGTGGATTGTGAAATTTCACTTTGTTACTCATTCCTTGTTTTGACTTCTTCACCCCCTGCTTTTGCTTTAGTTCACTTATATTTCTTTATGTTTGTTTGTTTACAACTTAAGGGACAAACAAGAAGAGATAAAAAATTTCTCTGATTGGCGGCATGCCTCATTGTTTTTGTCGAAAGTGAAATTTAAAAAAAAAAAAAAAAAAAAGAAGTGAACTCAACCTTCTATCCATCAAAAATCAAACAAAGTGCCTAGATCGCTAGGCGTTTTTGAATTGCTGCAAACCCATGAGTATACTTGCAAGAATGTAAGTGAGCTGATTTATTATTTTATTTGGCAGCATCAGAGGTGAGGGTTGGAAATTTTGCTGCCTTGGCACTCTTTATTTTTCTTTTTTTTAAAGAAATGTCGATGGTTACAGTTTACGTGATAACTCATGTCAATGTGTTGCTGCTAGATTCGATTGTCAGTTTGCTAATCGAAAATGGAGTTGATAGGAGCGTCTGTTTTTTCAGTTGGTAATAGGGATTAGTTTCTTAATCTTTACTGAACCGACTACGGTCTTGCAAAGGTATGATTTTGTATGATTGGATGTTGGTTGCCTTAGTTTTCAATCGGCGGATTTAAAGCTTATCGATTTCGGTATTGTTTCATTAATGGAAGTAGAATGACGATTCGAAGTTTATCATGCTCATCTGCGTATATTGCACAGCTGCCTCTTGCAAACATTGCCACAAGTAAGGTGAGTGAGCACGTCCCTCAGATTCCAACGTTGCTTACCTTTCACCGAATCAAGGGAACTCCATGCGAAACGTTTTGAAGGGACTCTCTGCTTATTCTGTCACCGAAGAGCTCCATTTGCTATGTGTGTATTCGCACATTTTTGAATTCATTTTTAATTACACATTTTTTAATCAAGTTGAATTACACAAATATGTAGGCGTACTTACTCGCTGACTAAGTGTGGGCTCCCCGAGAGTGGAGAATAATGCAGCGAATTCAACTTCGGCATTGGCAAGGACTTCATGCAGACGAGCGTGATTCTGGCTGGCACCATCCACTTTGGCATTATCCTTCAGAGTTCTACAATGCAATGCATTTGGTTTGAGCACTGATTATTGTACTCACATGCTGTGAACCAAATTTGAAGTCGAAAGCCCTCGGCATCGGAGTTTGAGAGACTTGACACATGCGATGAATCTTTGTCTGCATGTCCATCTCCACATCAATGTCGAGGGTTTTTGTGACGATACCCGGTGAATTGTCAGGAATTTTTTCGAATGCAGTCGTTGATGTTTCTTTCTTAATGCTGCATAACCAGGTCGCATCCTGAGTTATGTGCGCTTCTGTTGTCAACACACACTGGCTTAACTTCAGTGTTGGCGAAGTTGCAAAATTGTGTCGAAGTTTCTTAGGTTTGTCGATACTTTGCGTTTAATATGTGCGCGAACGAGAGATGAATAGGTGCGACTTGAAGAGCACTCAATTATAACTAGAAGCGGGGGATGTTGGAAGATAAAGTCGACAAGCAAAAGTGATGTCCTGTACGAGTTGGTTCTCTACAAACGCAATCGCAAAAGAGAGAAGGGGGACAAAAAATGGAATTGCAAAAAAAGTTTAGACGCTGATGAACCACTTCAAATCCCGCAATCTGAGGGTTCGCGGTGCTCTATAAAACATAAAGTCATCAAAGTCATCAAGGCGTAGGCACTGTCATCTTGAAAGCATCCATCGATCCGGTGATTTCCTGTCTCGAGGCATCATAATGTGATTTACATCCGGTGATTTCCAGTCTTCTACTTCACAGAAATGTTTCATTCATGGACAATGATGGCCAGTGTTTTAAATGGTGTTTCACAAGCTATTAGGCAACGGCCTCCGAAGTCAAGCATGAAAGGATTCACAATAAGTACGCGCGTCGCACTTAATGTGGGCAGCAATCGAATCTCTCGCCGACTTCCACTGTTTTTTTTGGCTAATTTTTGGTTAATTTTTTCAGGGTTCAGCAAAAGTGATGCAGTCCATGTTTGTTGATTTTGGTTCAGAAGATGTAGTGGTTCAGCTTTGTAGTGAAGTTGTACACAGAGAGAAGCATCAGATTTTCATGTGTTGTGAGTTGGGGATTTTTTGTGGGCACTGCGTCTGTTTTAACACTATTGAATCTTCATTTGGACCAGGTTGACTTTTGTTTTTTTTTAGTTTACTTTGAGGTTTTCTGTACATCATTACAAAATTCTTTTTCAAATTAATTCCGATGTTTGTAAATTGAGATCTGAATCAATTATCAAAATGTGATGATATAAATATGTTCCACAATTGAACAAATGGCTGTTTTAAGTAATTATTCTTTTTGTTTCAATCAACTATTAGAATGGGACATCCATATGAAATTAGTTAATCTTACAAGACAATCTCTAATATAAAACAGCTTAGGGGGGATAAATAAATTGAATAAAAACGTGGCCAACTGCACGGGTTTCCACCAGTCTCTTATATAAGACAGCTTAGAAGTCAAACAAGAAGAACGCTCTCTGATTGACCGCATGCCTCATCGTTTTTGTCAAAAGTGAAACAAAAAAGCCTTTTATCCATCAAAAATCAAGCAAAGTGCGTTTACTGGGCGTTTTTGTCATCTGTGTGCCAGTTACTCTTGCGAAGGAACAGTTTCAATAACTGTTACAATGTGTTCTCAGGCTCTGGTTCTTTGTGTTCTAGCACGAAGCGACACAGCACTCTCTGGTTCACAAACTCAAAATAACTCACAATAGTCTTCACACAGAACTGTCTATTTGAAATTGAGCATTGTATACATGGTGCGCATTATGTGCATTGTAATTTATGCATTGTGCATTTGTGCATTGTGCAATTTGTAGAAACAGTATCGTGTCGAGGTGAATCGTCGGCCGCATCTGGAGTTGCAAGGGCGGGAAGATGTTTGCTCACATCAACGACATCTGCTTCCACTTGCTTCCCCCGGCAGTTGATTCTAAGTTTATATTTTTGCAACTAGATAAAGTTTTATGGAAGAATTGACGTTTTTCGGTTTTGTGGGGTTCAGAGTTGCTTCCGAGATGTTGGCATGCTCTCTATTATGGTGCTTTCTAATTTTCGCCGAGCATGGTGTTGACTTCGTAAACACATGGAGATTTTGAAGTCAGGTGATTTTGATTCGGGATCGTCGTCCCCTGCGCTCATGTTTCAAAAAAACTTTCTTCATCAACAGACTATCCACTGTGACTATCCCAGTGTCAAGATCTCCTCATAAACAACTTTGTACCGGAACTTCGAAGTTCATGTCATCAACAACTAATACGAGGCCCCCATGTCGACCGAACTGCAACGTAACACGTATATTGTCAATTGGTTTAGCAGCTGAGGTTTACGGTTTTGTTTTACGATTGTGTGATCGGCGCCTCTCTGGATGGAGTTGATCTGTTGCGTTGATTTATAAGTAATATTCACAACAATTGTCCTGCGCTCATGTTTCAAAAAACAAGAGAACAGACAATGAAAATCAAAATGGGCCATGGTTTGCTGAGCATGGTGTTGACTTCGTAAACGAGAGCATGTAAGCAGAAAGAATTTATTGATCCCAGAATCATCGTTACAAGATTCTGCCACTCGCAAACATTGCCACAAACTGAAGCAGAGGTCGAGGTGTCAGAGCATATCAATTTCCGCGGAATAGTCCACACTCTTAGTTGGCCTTGATTTCAGATTGCAAATAATAATCGCATCATCGATGTGCAGGTGCTGAGAAGGGATTAACAGACCCTCAGAAAATAAAGGTTGGCAAGGTCACCATCGACCAGCTCAAGACGATCGCTCAAGAGAAGTTGCATACTTGAAGTGCACAACAATCGAGTCTGCCATGAGAATCGTGGCCGGAACAGCAGCCAACTTGGGAATCGAAGTCGACCCACCTCTGCTGGAGAAGAAGAAGAAAGTTATGCGAGCTCTGCAGGCCAGAGCAGCGCTGCGGCAGCGGGAGGTAGGAAGTTCGAGCGACAATCAAGCAAGATCTCAACATCGGCACCACCCTCCCAGCTCCAACGAAGACTAATTGGTGGATGGGGTAAGATCGCAGGAGATGGCGAAATCCGGAGATTTAAATGCGACCACGTAGCAGGTGGAAGAATTACAACACTTGATTCCTCCACACACACACTACACCAGCATGCACATGCATTTTTCTCACTGAAATGTTTTTTTTCTGTAAAAAGTAAAATTTTCTCCTGTCCTGGCCCTTCAATCTTCACAAGTGCCCATAGTTTGCTTCTTTGCAGACATGTGTTATCAATGAGTAGTGGAGCACCACATTATTTACTGTATGAATCAAATTATCAATCTTATTGTGCTGGATGGATCAGAACTTTCTTACCTGACATTGAACTTATTGGTTTGAAATGTGTGGATTTGGTGTTCAACTTCTATTGAAATAGAAAGACAGCAATCCTTTTATGTAAGAATTATTTGTACATTGGTCTTTCTGGGATCTATTCTACCACTCAATTATTCTTCAATTGACTCAATTCCTCAACCTCTTTAATAATTTTTTGTTTTACTTCTTTTGGATATTGAAAATATTTTCAATAGGTTCATTTTTTTCTTTTTAACTTCCAGTTTCTATGAACTATTTAAAATACGAGAGGTCCTTTTATCTTTGTAATTTAGATGAATTTAATAGGATTGTAAGATACTATGTGGAGAATGAAAGAAAAATTTTATACATAATTAAAAAGATGAATTTAATGAAAATTTGAAGTGTATTAGAATTTTTTATTATAAATTAAAGTTACTTTAATGAAGGATATTAAAAACATTTGGTTTATGATATATCAAATCAGAAAAAACAAACCAGGATAAAGTAGCAATAATCCTATCAAATTAGTTTATTCTAAAGGTACAAAGATATTTCTATAAAATGTATATATATCTAAAAACTTAATTTTCACCAAAGAATATTTTCAATATAAGAGATGAGACAACTTAAATCCTTTTTCAATTCTTTTATTTATTTATTTATTAGTTTTGTTTTTTATTCTTAAGATGTGATCAATTTTTGACTTCACAACCACAAATTAAACTTTTATACCTTTTTTTGTGGCCAACTGCAGGGGTTTCCACTAGTGTGTACATATATATATATATATATATATATATACATACATAGATATACATTTTGTTTGTGACTTAGCCTTCTCTCACACTGTAAATGTTCAATCACACCCACTCTGTTTTTCTACTTGGTCGCAACTAGGTTGCCTTAGACTTCTTTGCATATGTTGTATATTTTCTTCTGCTGTATTGCGATCCTTCTTGCTGTTTTGCTCCTTCTGTCTATGATTCGGCTCCCCCCGCCTCCATTATTCCATTGTTTTGCTCTTTGTCTGCGGTTTCAAATCGCATTCCTCTTCCTTGTGTCGTATTGTCAGATTGCTCACCTTGCTATCTCCATTGCTACCGTTCTGATTTGGATTGTAGCCGCACTACTCATAGCCTCTTCTTGATGCTCTGATTTCCACTTACTGCTCACCCTTTGCTCTCACTTTGTCGTTGATGAACTCATTTCACAGAACCCGCCGTGGCGTAGAGACTTCGGATTGCTTTTCTTCTTCCTCTTTAACCGCAACGGCTCTGGCATTTGTTGCTTCTATTTTTTTGTATGCTAACACACAAAACCCGCATTACATTTCAATAACACCACTAATCTATGCTTTCACTATAAACCTGCATTGAACCTTTGACTACGCTCAGTTTGTTGCTGCCGCCTTGCTCCTACGAAGCAGGGCCGAGAGCCTCCAACTTCGACTGGTGGATTAGTTAATATTCTTCTGGTGGCGTCTAATGCTGTAGGGATGCTCAAAAGCAGATAATTGAGAGTACCCAGCAGGGCGATCGATGTTTGGCTGGTGAATATGCAACTAACTACAAAATTGCACACATCTCGTCGTCTATGGCCAACATCCCCCCGATTAGGTGAGACGATCTTTTTGGCAGTTCACAGAAGTTCAGCGTGGCAAGACATCATCGAAGTCATCGTTCAATTGCACCATGTATCCAAAAGTATTGCAAATTCTTCTTTCAACCCTAATTCAAAACACGTCTGTATATGATCATTTTTTCTTTGCCCAAACAATCCTCCGTAAAAAACTAAACTCAACCTACAGATGACATGAAGAAATGAAGTCCAAGGCACCATCAATCTGGAAATAAATAAAATAATCACTGAAAAAATGTCTTCAATTGTTGTCACCTTCACAATCTTCAATTCAAAAAAAATCCACTACATTAACTCCAATCAAGGCCAAAGTCCTCCACAGAATCATGGAATCTATGAACTCTAACTAATTCCATGTCATTTCTACTTTTCAAAATCTTTGGAATCTTGAAGCAATAGAATTTTGGCATAGTGCAACACAGCAATCATTGCTTTTATATATGGAATAGTTTTAGACATCCTTGGCTCTATTTTTGGATTTTTGTGATTTTGGCATGATTTTTAGTGAATTTACCAAACAAATATAATTCTATTATATTATAGAAGAATTGAACTTTTTTAATATTATATTATATTATATTTCTTCTTTGTATAGTCTATAATCAAAAAAATATTATTTATTTAAAATAAAATTACATCATAGATTATATGCATATAAAATTAATAATTATAATAAAAATAAAAATAAAAATCCACTCTTTTATCTATGTAAGATACATTATAGGATTTGAGATTTTTATTTTATTTTTGATAATTTATTTTTTATAATATTTAACTCTAATTCTTTTAATCTTATGTATTTTTAATGATATTTAGGATAAAAATTAATATTAAATTTTTTCTTATCTCAAAAATATATTTTTTTGTTTAATAAATCTACAAAGTTATTTAATCAAATATTAAATTTATATCTAAAATTTAACCTACAATTTTTTTTATTATCAAAAGTCAAATATTATTGCTTAATTTATTCAAAAGAATGTTAAATAGACTTACTCATTTACTAAATCGATCCATCCTATTGTAACCATCATTAAAAAAGTAGATCATCTTGAGAAACAATTTTTAAAATCATGGCCTTCATTTTGACCTCCATTGTTTCCAAGATCTACTCCTTCCATCTCCAACATTCATTCCAACCTCATCGTCTCTCCTTTCTCCCCTCTCCCTCTAAATTTCTCCATTCCCCATGTTTCCAATCATCATCCTAATCCTCTCTATTTCCAACCTCCACTTTCAGCCTCCATCTCCATTATTAATCCTCATATTGATCCCTATTACAATTTTGAGAATCTGTTGTGAATTTGAAGAAAAAAGGTTGAAGAGGTGGAAAAGGTGTGCTAGAGCAAAACATGAAGATGACCAAACTACTTGTAATTGAGGCTAATATATAACTTCTATGAGATGCTTTTGTTAAATTATGCACTAATTTAAGCTTTTATTTTCTTGTTTTTTATTTTACTGAATTTGCCTGTCTCAACAAGAAACAATAAATTGTGCTCCAATTTGAGTTTATATTTTATTCTTAATTTTATTTAAATTTTTTTAATTCTAAAATTGTATCAACATTGTATAATTTTATGTAAATGTACAACATATGTAAATTTAATTTTGTTGTCTAAATTTTTTTATATCAATGCAAATTTTGAATACAATTACTTGTTTGTTAGTATGTAAAGACTTTCAATATAAGTTTCAAAACTATTCATAGCTGAAACAATTTAGAAAAAATCTCCTCTATACTTATCATGCATAGTTGTAGAACTAGTGGAGATCGAATTAGAATATTAATGCTTGAAAATAGTAAAAATTTGTCATCCAATGTTGATAGGATTATTTGTACCACAATTTGGCTTTAGCATTTGTGTCAAATATCTCCAAGCTAACCTTCTTTGTTGTGCTCCATAAAAAAGTTATAAACATATTTTCTAATTCTCTCCAAATTTTCATTACTTTTAATTTGAATGGATAAAAACAGACACCAATCTAGTTGAAATTTGTCACATTTGTACTCATTGCATTTTTTTTTTTTTTTTATCTATGCTTCTCCTTACATTTCTAATTGCTTTGTATTTTTCACTAGTATACCTTTCCTTCATCATCTATCATTCTTTCTTCAAATTCATGGTAGACTCTCAAAATTATAATATGGGTTGGTATGAAGGTTGATAACAATGATGGAGATTAAGAGCAGAGATTGGAAAAAAAAAAGATTAGAATGATGATTGAGAACATGAGAAATGGAAGGATCTAGAGAAAGAAGAAATAGGATAAAGATTGAGAACATAGAGAGCAGCGATAGAGAACAAGAAAGGTCAAGATGAAGGCCATGTGAAACAGGACTAGACTATCTTTAAAACCTAAGATCCTTCCAATCCACAACAACTTAAGGCCTCTTCACAAAATATGACAAAATAGACCAAAACAACAGTGAACAAAATTAAACATAATAAGACATGAAAGACAAAACTAAGCAAACAGAAACAAAACTTAACAGATCTGAATAGAAAGATGTAGAACTAAACTTTACTAAAAAAAAGAATCTAAAGCCATACTTGACTAGATGTCCCAAAAGGCCTTGGCTAGTCCTATTTATACCTTGTATTACTACCCTAGACTTTCTAGAATGTTCCTAAATGGTGGACCTCACTTAGATAACGACTTTAGATTCCTTTTCTAAAAGGTTTATGGTGGGCCCCACTTTAATAATTGCCCTAAGTTTTCTTCTAGAAGATTCTATGGTAGATCCTACCTAGTCCACTAACCTAACCCCAATTCTACAAACTTCCATGGTTCTAATTATCTATATAATTATCTTACCTATATCCTGTTACATCATGATTCTAATGATGGTTCTTTGAGATGATGCATTTTTTTTTTAATGATGGTTATAATAAGATGGATTGATTTAGTAAATGAATAGGTATATTTAACATTCCAATTTATTTAATATAATATTTTAAAAATTTAAACAATCTATTGTTTTCAACTTAAATTATATTAATTTGTTTCCTATTGAATTAATCAAAAGAGATTCTTTAACAACATCTTGGTTATAAAATATAAAAAATTGTTAAATAGCTACTTATCTATTCCTATCTAATATTATTTTGTTTCTTCTTATATTGTTATAAACATTTGTAAAGAAAACTAAACAACATTTTCATACAAAATGCACCTCTACAATCTTTTTAAAATTTGCTTTATACCAACTTATGAATGCATAATATTTGTAGAATTAATACCAAAGTAACTTCATTTTTATACATAAAAACCACATTCTAAACATCTTACCTATTCTATTTGAAGCTTAAGGACAAACTTGTACTTTTGTCTAAGACCTCAATAATATTACTTCATTTTAAATCTAGATACCTTTGATAACATCTTTACCTACTATTATTCACATTTCAATCATTCTAAGATCCTACTCAATTACATCCTTGTTTTATTCTATTGTTTTCATTCACCTTTTATCTGTCCACACTAGTCACAACAAAAAACACAAAATATACACATCTCAATAATCCAAGTTCCATTCATAATCATAGAAAAATATCTTTCATTTTAAATTATAAAAATGAACAATAAAATCTTCCAAATAAAAATCACACTATTTTCATTGTAAAGACAAAAAAATAAGAAACCTTCACCAAGCTTCGACTACTGAATTAGTGACCCGTCGAAAAACTATCAAACAAGGAGATGGAAGCCAAAATTTGGAAAACCCTAATTCTGTTTCTAGAAACCCTAATTCGCGTGCGTTGTTGCGACGCTCCACAGCGCCGTCCCCCTGTGATCGTCACTGAATCCCCACAAACATCCATTCATGCACCGTGTCTTGCTGGGCGAAATTCTCTGCGAGCGCTGCAATCAAGCGCCGCGTGCATTCGGTGGCAAGATCGAGAGGAAACAAATTTACTCTTCCAAGACGAAGCGTACCGTTCTAAATTAGGATATTGCGCGGAATTAGCGACGAATGCCCCGTGAGCACAAGTCTCGGAAATGCCATCACAAGGTAAAGGAAAAAAAAACTCGACAACCGTCGACATCGGGGAAGCAGTTGCAGTAACTTTACGACGGTGACGTGGATTGAAAATCGTCCCAGAGGAGTGGCATTCGTGTCTCTTCTAAATCAAAATTCTGAAAAATCACATGCGCTGGCATGGCCACATTTTCTTTTTCTGTTTTTTCTGTTTTTTTGTTTTTTTGACACAGAATGTGTATACCCTTTGCGAAGTGTGAATAAGAGTTACTGCTTGAGGGTTATGCTAGAATTGGCATTCTGCGAGATCTAACATTGTCTATCTCTCTGTCTCTCGCTCATTTCTAATATTATTCCATATTCCGAGAAAAATGTTGTTCTTATTCGCCGGCTGAAGCTTGCATGTCAACGACGCCTTCACAGCTCTCACGAAGCACCGCGAATGTGCACCACGATCCAGTGAGTTAAAGTGTGTGGTGGAAGCGGATCTAATTCCAGGGGATTTCCCAGATGCACAGACTTGCAGTGTCAGAGCGAACTGAAATTCCTGAGCTGTACCCTCACGACGCTGTTTCCGAGACGGGAATCCAGTGAGAGGTGCTCACAGGACCCTGGAAAAAGTTCACCACTGTTCTTCCCCGTTCGTCAAGAGGCCACTCCTTTTTCCCGTGAATGGACGAGGACCTTCGAGCCCTGGTCGTTGTCCCCCTAACCTCTAATTGTGATATTTCCGGGAATTTGATGGGGGAATTCGAGGAATGGTGAAAATTCTCCGACGATCCCAGTAAGAATTACGTTACGACGCTGGGATTGCAACCACTGAAGGGGACCAGTCGTGGTTGTCTGGTTTTGTGCGTTGTCCTCCCCAGCCAGTCACGACTTGCCCCACCCACAGGGGTCGAGAAGGTCATCTATTCGTCTGCTGCTTCACATCCGTGCAGGCTTTCAGATGTAAATATGGGTGGCAGTGTGATTTTTAGCCAGTTTCATTAGTGCCTTTAGGCTGCTTTTGCCTGTGGTGTGGACTGCAGAGAAGCAGCAGCGCCGGGACGCAGCCATGGCGCTCCGGATTGACGCTCTCAGTACGGGGCAGGCAACGAGTGTGAGGGCTGTGTTCCTGCGGTATGGTGGGATTAGGAGAAGCGGGAATGGTAGGAGAGTTAGTATGTTTATGAGTTTGGAGGGGCAGCAGTCTCAGCCCATAAAGCAGCAGGTGCAGGGCTTGGGGGTGGAGCATTGGGGCGCGCCGATTGTGAAGAAGTCTGTGCGCGCGTGGCGAGTGCGGAGGAATGCGTCTGTAGAGCTTGCGAGTGGGGGTGGAGATGACGGGGGCAGTGGCGGAGTGAAGGGATACGGGGGCGGCGATGGAGAGAGCGAATATGGGGGTCAGGGCGGGTCTGCGAACCGCGACGAGGCTCTCATGGTGTTGTCTGGGTTGGGTAAGTCGCTGGAAAACTTGCCGGCTGATCTCGCGTCTGCGATCCAGGAGGGGCGTGTTACCGGCGCCATTGTGAAGAAGTTCTTCGAGCTGCAGGACTCCAAGTTCTTGGGTTGGTTGCTGAATTTTGGTGGATTCAAGGAGCGTCTATTGGCTGACGATTTGTTTATGACGAAAGTGGCAATTGAATGCGGCGTCGGAATTTTTACTAAGGCATAATTCCTTTCTCTCACCCCTCCTTTCAGAATGTGTGTGGGTGTGTGTGTGTCTTCTACAGCTCATTCACGAAAGAAACAAGGAAGAATGGTCTGGAAGTCTCGTCCTTTGGGGGTGCTTGCAGTAAACCCGAAAGGAAGGGAATTTTTTGTGTCCGTCCTTATTGATTATTTATTTATTTATTTTCCGTTTAGGGGGGATATATGCTGTCCTGTCGTTTGATTGACTTGATGGTCGACAGAAGAAGTCACCACAGCTGACCTTCTCTTTTGAAATCTCTGAAATGCGTTCTCGTGGGTTAATTCTTGTGAAGACTTTGGACTATTTTTTCTTATCCGTTTCTGTTTGCACATTGGAGCTGCAGTCTGCTGCTGAACTTGAGAAGCGCAAAGAGAATTTCTCTAAGGAGCTGGACTTCGTCTTTGCGGATGTGGTATGTGATTTTACTAAAGCCACGACTTCACTAAACTTTGTAGTGTGTATTCCCTCTTCTGGAATGAGTGGTCTGTGCAGCCTTTTTACTGCATTTTCTGATGTCAGATGAACGTGAAGTGAAAAGAACAGATTTCTCATTTCAATTACATAAGCTTCCATGCCAGCGTCAATTGTTCTCATCTTGTTTCTGTGTCTTCATTGGTGCAATAGGTGATGGCATTGCTTGCTGATTTTATGCTGGTGTGGCTGCCAGCCCCCACCGTGTCGTTGCGTCCTAAAATTGCAAATGTCGGAGGGCTTGCGAAATTGTTTTACAATTGTCCCGACAATGCCTTCCAGGTGATCCAATTTTTTATTTGATTTTCTCTTACAGACTCTACCCACTTAGTTTTTTTTGGCAGCCAAACTCTGGTATTTTCTGTATGCTTGTCTGCCCTGGACATTGTGTGACATTGTAGAAATTCCATATTCTGTTGTTAGAGTTGACTCAAACTTTTGAGGTATCTGCTAATTTGCAATTGTCGGATTGGTTCCTTTATGATATGCAGGTTGCATTTGCAGGGCAGTCCTTCTCCCTGTTGCAACGTTTTGGTGCTATTGTGGTAAGCTTGCTGCCTTTTCTGTTCAGTTATAATTGTGAACTTAGAAAGTTAGATGTGAATGCGTCGTATTAACGCAGTTGGGATTCATTTTTCGTGTTCTTAGCGAAGCAAGTGTGTTACTGTTTGCAGAGAAACGGGGCGAAGTTATTGGCTGTCGGTACAACAGCCTCACTGGTATGCGGGCATGAAAAGTATCTCACATGATGTCTTACATTTTTATCCGCTGCTACATTTAGAAATAAATTCATATTTGCTTCAATTCTTATTCGCTTGTCTTAGTTTCAGACCTTGAGATGGATTCTGTATTGAATCTACGGGATTAATTATCTTGCGTCTCTGTTATGCCAAACTCATAAATTTTGCTTAATTGTGGTTGTGCAGGTCGGGACAGCCTCTACGAACACTTTAATAGCAATTCGTCGCAAGTTGGATAAGAACTTTGAGGGAGAATCAGAAGATATTCCAATCCTACAAACCAGCTTGGCTTATGGAGTATACATGGCTGTCTCCAGTAACTTGCGGTATGGTTCCAGACAGTTTTGGTCACATACTCACAGCGAGAATCTCTTTAAGCTTGTGATTTCTGGAGTATCTTCTGTGTTGTACAAAAAGAAAGAAAACTTCAGATTGTTTTGAAGTCGTGTAGAACAGGCACTCGTTTATCACGCAGTCAGTTCGAATTGGCTTTAGATTTTATTATCGTCTTAGTTGCGTGGAATATCGTTGATTTGTAGAGCTTGATTCTTACCGCTGGTTGAGTTTTGTTCCAGATATCAAATCCTGGCAGGAGTCGTCGAGCAGCGTATATTGGAGCCAATGCTGCACAACCAGAAACTGCTGCTTAGCGTAATGAGCTTCGCTATTCGTACTGGAAACACGTTCCTCGGTTCATTGATGTACGCTTCCTTCTCCTTCCTGAGTTTCAATCCATGGTTAGCTGTAGAATCTGCTCAGAGCGAGGTTTTGATCTTTCGGAGCCACAGCCAACAAACATTGTTTCTGCTGGTCTCATGCTGTGTGCGTGACATGCAGGTGGGTGGATTACGCACGATGGGTTGGCGTACAGAGGAGTAGAGGCGCAGAAGAAGCTGTTGCAGCCATTAAGGGTGCTGCCGAAGTTGCTTAGAATTTCTATCATCACTTAAGATCTGTGAGGATCAAGCAACTGATTCACCTCCTTGGGATGAAGTTTCATCAGTGTAAGGTAGTCACTCAACAAGATTCACTTCTTTAGTAGATTTCTTGAAACAGGCTAGACTCCCAACTATCATTCTTATTATCACTTAACTATTATTCTTATCACCAAATTTATTTTGGATTAAGGTGAACTATTTGCTTTATTGTTGTAAGTCTAGATTTGAGCTTCTTGTTGCAGATAGCATTGACAATCTTGTACTTCATGACTTCAAATGGAAATCCTCTATTGCAGTAAGCTTGCCACTCTTGGCCTTTAAGATGGCCTTAGTCATTTTCAATCTCAAAGAGCTTTAGAAGAGTTTTATTTTATAATGAATGTTTTTGTTTGCAAATGTTATAATGTATATACAAGGTCTTACATAATTGTTTGTTGTTGAGGGTTTTGCATGTAACACTTGTTTATAAAGTTTGTGGTTGATTGATATTTGATTTGTAACCATTTGGACTTGATTAATTTTTTTTTTTTTTTCGTGTTGACTTACTTTATATTAAATCCCTATGTTAATATTATTTGCCAAATTTAAATCAACAACTTCCAAGAAAATGTGATCTTAAACAATTATTTTGAGTCTTTCTAATGTATGATTTAAATTGTTAAAAAAAAGATATACCTTGAGATAATGCCTTGGTAGAGAACATATAATGATCTAAAGAAAAAACATTGTTTTTATAAAACATAATCAATAGGTGAAATTCTTTTGGAAAATATTTATTTTTGGTCTAAATTTAAGGACTTGCTTTAGAAGGAATCACATGATAACTTATAATTATAAATAGTTCTAATGTTAAAAAATATTTATATATATGACTAATTTTTAGTAGATATTGTATAGATAATTGATAAGTAGTTATATATTGTGAACATTAGTGAACACATAATTGAATAGTTATAACTATCATAGCTATCATAGTTGCTATAATCTACTAAGTTGTCATATGACCTAACAAGTTAAATGTTTACATGTCAATAATTGAATTAATTATTAGTTTGCTTGCACTAGAAAGTCTATGTCATTAGACCATAGATTTATGATATATAATAGTTAGGAAATAGGTTCATTTTAAGCAATTAACTCTCTTGAATCCATTTTGGTTGACCAATGACCTCATTTGTACTGTTTTGTTAAACTTCTATTTTGGTAATATATTTCTTCATATTTTATCACATAGAATCAAAGCTTGATGTTTTTTTTATTTATTCTTTGCAAGTTGAATATATCATATGAGGTTGTTTAGTAGGACTATATCTTTTAATCAATTTAAAGGACTTTAGTAATTTGTGAATTTAGCCTTTTAGAGAGTTGAACTTCTTGGGCCAAATGTAAGCTATTCCTTTTTTCTTAGTAGCTCTTGTTAGGAATAATATTAGAAATGAAGAAGAGCAAGAAGAAGACTTTGGAGCTTTAAAAAACTTTATCCATAACCTTTGCTATGCTTGCAACGTGCCTACAGTTTGTAAAAAGCTACACGCTATCAAGAATGCCTTATTAGAACATGTTGTTAGGAATGGATTGTTGGGTTGGACAATAGTAGTTGGGAACTTGTTGTACGAACTTTAAAGCAGCCATAGAGTTATAGAAGTCCAAAGATTCAAGAAATTTTGGTAAGTTAAGTGATTTTATTTAAAATTGGCATCTCTTTGTCAAAATTGTAATATCTTTGTCAATTTTATAAATTTAAAATTAAATATTTTTGACAACACGAATGGTACCATAATACATCCACTTAAATCTAATTTTTGTTTTTTAGAGAATATTTAGAATTTGTATAAATATTCAAGTAAAAGGTTATATAGGAGGGTATTGAACCTCACTTTGATTCCATTTTTGTTCCGTTCTAATTTTATTCCCTGAGTCCTATTATTTCCTCTATCTTTAACATACTCTTTGTATCATGGCAATAAAATACCACATCATAGAAAAATATATTAGTGACAATTAGTACCTTTGAAAAGAAACAATTAGATTTATTTTAATTGATAAGAAATTGTCGAAGGTTGTATGTGAAAAATACAAGAAACTTACAAGGTTATCCATACATCTGACAAAGTGAGAGAAATGACAAGATGCAGATAAGTAGGCACTATCTGCAATTTTTTAACATCTCTTTAGTTTAGAGTTCATCACAACAAGCAAAGTAATAAGTGCAATGGCCATATGGAAGTGTCTAGAAGAAACATACAAGGTTTATAATACCTCAAGCTTATTATTATTAATTTTCAAATTATCAACTATACAAATGAATGAAGGTAAAAACATTATTATATATATAAGAAAATTAGAAGAGACAACGAAGCAACTTTCTTCAATTGTAGAGAAAGTTTTTGATATGTGTTTTGTCATCATATCATTAAAGAATCTTCTAGAGTCATACCATACTTTGGTGGTATTATTGGGAATAGAACTTTCTACCAAGTTGATATTGACTATGGTCAAAGCTCAATTATTACAATAAGCATCTCATAAGAAGAATGTAAACTCAATCTCAAAAAGACAATTTCAAAACTTATACATATCTCATAAAACAAGATAATATTACAATCAAAGATTTTAGATATAGAAGCTTATATAAGTTTTTAGGATTTTTGAATGAAGACAAGAAAACTTTTTTTTGTATTAAAAATCAAAATAGAATTTGAATAAGATAAATTTTTTACATAAATAATATGATTATCTTAAAATTTTGGGCTTGAAAAACTACAAGCAAGTGATATTATTATCCATTTAGACTTAGACAAAGTCACCAAATTAGATTTTTACAAAAGATGTATATATATATATATATATTGTGATGTCTTTCTCATAAAAAGTAATACTTATGCAACTAAATTCTTAGAATTGATACATTTGAATGTTCATGGTCTTATGATGACAACATCTCATTGAGATACAAAATATTTTGTTACTTTTATTAATAATTTTTAAAAAATATTTTTGTATATTTAATAAACCAAAAATCAAAAGTCTTAAATAAATTTAAAATTTTTAAGGCTCTAGTTAAGAAATAAGTATGTTTACAAATTCATAAATTACATACTAACAATGATGGTGAATATATATCTAAGGCATTTAAGCTATTTTATAAGTTACATGGCATTAAAAGATAATTTTTAATACCTTCTACATCTACAAAAAAAATAGAATTATAATATGCAAGAATTAGATATTATTTGAAAGTATAAGATGTATCTTAAAACATAAGAAATTTTCAAATGTGGTTAAAAAAATCCATTAATACAACAATATATGTTCTTAATTAAGCTCTAACTAGTTTTATAGAAAAAAAAAAAAAAAAAAAAAATGCTTAAAGAAGTTTGGTCAAGTATGAAATCTTTGGTACAACACCTTTATGTTTTTAGATGTGATGCCTATGTACATCTTTTGGATGAAAAATATACAAAACTTATCCCTAAAAATAAAAAATATATAATTTTGGGCTATATTGAGGTATCATGGACATACACACTTAGAATAAAAGAATTAAATAGAAGTAAATAGAAGTAAGTAAACTTAATAATATCTTTTGAAAAAGCTTCTTAAAAGCTTTATGGATATAAATTCGACTTTACACATATTAACATGTGATAGATAGATCAAAAACTTGGCTAGCAAGTTAGCTACATGTCACACATGTTCATAACTTGTGGTACAACTTAGTCATGTCGCACATATATTAGAAACTTGTCTTGCAAGTTAAATATGCATTGGAGATCCTATAGAATGTTGCCATATAACTCCTAATTATATAGTATATATGCATGTAAGAATAAAGTATTCCTCACTCTTGTCAACATTTTTTTTTTTCTTAGTCTTGTTTCAAGAGTTTCCAATATTTTTTTCTTTGATAATAACCATACTAATTTTAATATTATACTATTTTTGAATAAAAATCTATTCATTTTAAGATTATATTGAAGTTTTGATTTTTTTTTTATTCATATTTTTGATAGTTTGATAACAGTGTGAATTCATTATTCTTCTTTTTATTTTAATAGTAAGTGGATCACTCTACTTCTTTTGTTTTATTTTAAAGGTTTTAAACTATCCAAAAAAATTTAAGTATTTTTTATTTTCTAACACTTATTTTTTATAAAGATAGTATATTATCCTTCTTTGTCAAAATTTTCATTTGATATTAGATGTTATAGATTATCTTCTTTTAATTTGACTTGTAAATTTATCAAATTTGTCTCTTATAGAGATGGAAGATAAAATTATGGATGCTACACTTAGCAAAAGTGAAAATAGATTAATAACCATTGTTGATCTTGAAAAACTTGTCAATAATCTTATAATAGAAATTTTACATATAACTAGTATCAACCATGGAAGTATTATTTTTACACCTATAAAAGAAGTTAATAATGCAATTCAATGTCTATGCTAAGAAGTTAAATAATTGAGGGAAGCAAGTACATTAAGCTCATAGTTGAATTGAAGAAGTCTTACTATTACAAGAATGAGGAATGCAAGGACTAGTATACCAAAGAAGTTTGATGGAACATGATCAAAATTTTAAAGATTTTTACAACAAATCAAAGTCTATTTAAGGTTGCATCCTTCTCAACATCTTAATGGATTTACTTTAGTTGCATTCATAGGTGCATTTCTATCTAGAAATACTTTTTTGATTTATACCTTTGATAAAAAATTATTCGTAAATCTTATATTATCTAATTTTATTCTAAAAATTATTTATAGCCATATTTAGAAAAAATAATTAAAAAAAGATAGCAGAGATCAAATTTTTATTTTTATAACAAAGATCATTATCAAATATCATATTAGCTATTAAATTCTATTATTTATGATATAGATTGAAATAATAAAGTCCTAATCAATTAATTTTGATATGGGCTAACAAAGAATTATTATTGATATTTCTAGTTTATTGAAATAATTTAATGCTTAAGTCATTACGTGGAATAATTTATTTTTTGAAAGATGCTAGAAATAAAGATTTAGTTGGAGAAAAACAAGTCAAGTCATGACAAAAACTTTTAAGTTTCTAAAAAATTATTTATTAAAGCCAAAACCTATACAAATAGTTATGAAATGTTTTAAATTTTTTATTAAACAAGACAAGATTCAACATTGTTAATATTTTTTTTAATATTATATATTATTAAGCTATTATAACTATTCTTTGCTAGCTCTTTAGGAATAATTTCATAGATAGTATCCCTAAAAGATAAAAATAAATAAAATCATCTATGATTTATATATTTCAAGGCTTAATTGTTTTTACTAAAAATATTTCTTATTTTTTTAAA